ATTATAGTCCTTGCATGCTCTGAGAACTGCCTTTATTTCTCCAAGTGTCTTTTTCCACATGTCTTTCATGTTAAGAGATATTCTTTAAATGTCTGATGATCTTTGGCTGTCCATTCATCTTTGAGAGTGAGTCCCCAAAAACCCTACTGGAAGATCCATTCGTGGCAGGAGCTTTCACTGTAGGGAGACCAGGTAGGGATCCAGATGGCCAAGAAATCACAGACATCAGCATCCTTCTCTGCAGGGACCTTCTCTTGTACCTATTTCCCTGGAGAGGAATACTCTCATCTGCTGGGGGATGGGGGCTCCAGATGGGTGGTTCTAAGCCTGACAACTTAGAATTCTATGACTTTTTTTTTTATTCATTCATTCATTCTAATCAGTTACACATGACAGCAGAATGTTCTTTCATTCCTTGTACACAGAATTCTATGACATTCTTGCAGTCCCACTGCAAGGCTCTGTGTTCCCCAAGGCACCTCATTCCCACTTTCAGCTGTGGCTGGCAGCCCCAGTGTCATGCTCCTCTTGTTTACCCTTTCCTTATAGAAGTCACAGATCTCCTGTGGGGAGGAAGAGACCCCTGGCTGGAGAAGGCATGGGGAAGTCTAATGCCTCCCCTGACTGCCTTTCAAAAAAAAAAAAATCCCCTTATTTTTTTCAGCTACATCCCCATAGTCATGCCACCTGAGGTATCTGGTATCTCATAGATTCCTAAGCCTTTCCAGGGAGTCTACAGTACAAATACTCACAATTATTTGGTAGAACAGAGGAAACAGAAACCTCATAGTGTATTATTCAGGACTGACCAGCTACACCATGGTAACAAACCACCTCCCAAATCCCCATGGCTTGAAACAACAAAGGTTGCCTCCTCTCTTGGTACATGTCTCACACAGCTGAGGCCCCTCATTGTGGGTGTGCAGGATACCCAGAGGACCTGTACTGTGCCAGAGAGGTGCTGCCATCTTGTGACACCACCATCTCAACAAGAGGCTCTAGATTTGTAGCACCTAGAGAAGAAAACATGGTTTTTGCTCTTCCTGTTTGTAAGCAACACATGTCAGTGCTTGCTTTCACTCACTGGTTTTGCAGTAAAATTTTAGGAAGCAGGTTGTTTTTCAAAGCATAGATTATTTTCCTTCATATTTTTAGAAAACAAGTATTTCCATTCAGTGACAAACATCTACAAGTTCAATAACTTATAGATGAGCAATCCTATCTTCTCATTCTGTATGACTCAACAGCAAACACATGCCAGTCAGCTCCATGTGTAAAGGGCTGAAGTTCAGAAGGAAAGAAAAGTAGTGTTAAAAGCAGACTTGACTTTTAGCTATTATCTCTGGTAAGTGGTAATAAAGCTATTCTTAATTACCTTCTGTTTGCTCCATTATAGTTTCTGATCTTGCCGTTCTGAGAATGCACAGCTTTTGCAACAAGAATTCTACAGTCACTTCTCCAGGTCTGCTGACCATAACCACTGTGGGTCAGCCCTTTTTGTTAAAATTTTATCTTTGCTACTAATAACTGATTTAAAACTCAAGTTCACAGACCTTATGTGGGATAACTGCCCAGATGATAATTTCCCTCCCTGTTATGGTTTGGATGTGAGTTGTACCCCAAAAGCTCATGTGTGAGACAATGCAAGGCGGTTCAGAGGAAAAATGATTGGGTTGAGAGAGTCTTGACCCAATCAGTGATTTAATCCCCTGACAGGGATTAACTGAGTGGTAACTGAAGTGATAGGATATGGCTGGAGGAGGTAGGAATTGGGGCATGGCTTTGGGTACATATCTGTATCTGGCAAGTGGAGTCTCTCTCTCTCTGCCTCCTGGTCACCACGATGTGAGCTGCTTTTCTCTACCACCTTCTCCCATTATGATGTTCAGCCTTATCTTGAGTCCTGAGGAATGGAGCTGGCCTTCTATGGACTAAGACCTCAGAAACTGTGAGCCCTCAAATAAACTTTTACTCCTCTATAATTGGGCTAGTTGGGTCCTTTAGTCACAGCAGCAAAAAAGCTGACTAAAACACTCTCCTTTAAATGAGTGGTTCTCAAACTTTCACATAATCAGGAATCTCAGGGAGAATTTATAAAACAAAACCAAAAAACAGATCACTGGGCTCCATCTCAGGTATTTAGGTTTGGAAAGGAAGGGTAATAACATGCATTTTTTTTTTTTTTTTTGGAGTGGGTACTGGGGATTGAATTCAGGGGCACTTGCACACTGAGCCACATCCCTGGCCCTACTTTGTATTTTATTTAGAGACCAGGGTCTCACTGAGTTTCTTAGTGCCTCATTTTTGCTGAGGCTGGTTTTGAATTCATGATCCTCCTGTCTCAGCCTCCCGAGCTGCTGGGATTACAGGCATGCGCCAATGCACCCAGCAGTAACTTGCATTTTTAACAAGTACCTTCCAGCTAGACATCAGACCACACTGCTTTTCATGATGGCTTTCTATTTTCTACATCAGTGTGCATGGAATGAGCATTCAGTAAATATTTTTCTGATGCTGAGGTGGAATAACACCATCAAAGGGTTAGCAAATGAAGGTCCTTCTTATAAATATGGAATGGCAGATGAAATACAACCCACAAATTCAAATGGCTTTTTTAAGGGGAATATTTTAAAACCCAGGTTTTAGGTATTGCTTCATATTAAGTATTCATAACCCAGTGAGCCCACTCACCAATTTCTTAACATCAAGTTGAATTTTTTTTCTCTGATGTATGGGTTCCTAAAGCATCATTCAACATTCTGTAATTAATTCTGCTTAGAATGAAACATCATGCAAGACAGTGAAGTTGTCTTCCTAGTTCAAATGAATAAAAACTGTCTCAGATCCTACACAGGCTGTGCTGGAGGCACAGCATGAAGCTCCTGGGGTCACATGGTTAAGGACATTTCAAGGAGTTGGTGCAACTGAGGAAGCTTATAGGAGAGGCTAGCACCTGGACCAGATGCTTCTGCAGCTTCTTCTCTGATGGTTTTCAAGTTTCTAAAAGGATGTGCAACCCAGCCTCTTGCCAGCTCCTTACTTTTGAAAATCTGCTCAATTTCCACCTCATTTGCAAAACGCTTGCTGCAATCCCTCCTAGCTGTAAGAAACCTAGAGACAGCTGGAGGTCAAGGAGAATGCTCCATGTGAGCACACCAGTTTTTAACTGACTCAGAAGCCTATAAAACAGAGAAGAGATGCTAGGCATGTCTCAACCTACTCAATGCTGCCCCCTGGCTGGGGAGGATGCAGTTGCCTTCCCTATGGGTTTCCAACCTTTACTTACAAGGTGCTAGATTTGCAGTGTAATCAGCTGACAGCACACACTGACTTGACCAAAGCAAAAGGTGAATGATACTGCTGTAGCCTGCACAAACCTTTATATATTAGAAAAAGTGAACATAATAATGTTCATAACAAAATAATAATTTTTCACTCTAAAGGATATACCGAGAAACGGCCTGGTACAATCGTAAACGTAGAATTAAATGAAACTGAATTTAACCTCTTGACCCTTCTCTTACTCCAAGCTCCATTTTTAAATGAAACTGCTTAAAAATTACCCAAGAGGATGGAAAAGTGAGAGTTGGAGTAGAAAGAATCTTTATAGCAAGGCAGAGGGGCAAAGGTTAGTCTTCTTGATTTATTTTGAACAGATTGTGACACCCAAGCTTGCCATATTATCAAACTCCTTAGATATTTTAAGAATGGAAAATAAAATGTTGATAGAGGCAACAATAGCTTTGTGTAGGTCTTCACAGGGAAGTAAAAATCTAGCTTTAAATAAAAAACATGTCTTCTATGAGGTGGGCAGGATGCCCAGGTACCACCAGAAGTGAAATTAGCACTTACTGAAAACCACAATGAGGCAAAGAGTGGGAAACACACACACCTGCAGAAACCCTGGCCAGAAAGGGCTCAGAAGGGTTTCCAACAAAGAGGCCATAATGCCTGACCCAAATCTTTAAGGGATATCTTTAAGGCACTGGTTCCCCAGTTGGGGTTCTGGAATCAGCAGCATCACCTGGGACCTTTTTAGTGACCATGCTGATATTTAGCTAAGAGCCCTGCCTAGAAAACAGGGAAGATTAAGAACCACCTACCCTCCTGTCATTGTGTGTTCTGGAAAAAATTTACAGCAAAGAAACCCCCTTCCCTAAATGACTTAATAATAATTCTCAGATGACTCTTGTTGACAAGGCCAGGCACGAACTCTCCAAACTTCCATTCTTTGCCTAATAAATGATTAGCTGAACTGTTGATTAATTAGAATAAAATGCTTGTTAACTTTGGTTAAGCTTCTTTCCTTCCCCCAGGTGCCTCAACTTTGGCCTGCATAAGCACCTCCCCCAAATAGGCTGGTAGCATGTTAAAATTATTCTCTGATCTACATTTAGTTAGGCTACTCTTTCATCCCACTTCCTCACACCTTGTTCTTTCTAGCCTTACTCTTCCCTGCAAAAACAAAACCCTTTGGTCTTATCCTAGAAAGGTTTACAGATCTTAAGGTTGGAGATTCTCCTGTTGCTATACCCTTCACCACCCCGCCCCCTCACGCCATCCTTTTCTCTCCTTTGCAATAATCCTTTCCAATAAAATTTCTCTTTATTCAATCCAGGCTTGATTTTCATTTGTTATTAGAAATGCAAATTCTTGGACCCATCCCAGAACTTCTGAATCAGCAAATGGATGGTGGGGGCATGTGTCCAGGAATCTGATTCTCAACAAATCCTTCAGGTACAGTTTGGAACCTAATGATTTACAGCGATCCTGCTGTGGATCTGATAAATGCTTGGAACCCCAACTCCCTCCGGGTGTTGCTTCACTGACCAGAGCTTGCGTGCAAGCTGTTTGAGGGTTACCATGTAAGAGTTCTTAGCACTCGCACAGCCCATTTATCCCATGACCTCGTTTTCCCATTACGGTCAAGGCCACAGAGCTACCATTTCCCCTCCCTTCCTCACGCGGAACTGAGCCAGCCAGAACCCTCGCAGACTTACATCTCCATCCACCGGCCTCTGGTCTTCACAGTCCCTGGTGGGGCTAATGTCCTGGCGCATCACCCAGATGGGCTCTTTGGGCTCGTCAGGGGTGTAAGGCGAACGGATGGTCCTGGTTTTCACCTCCTCGATGGCCTCCTTGATGTCTTTGATGGCCAAAGAGATGGCATCCCTCTTCTCCTTGCTGTACCGCTGCCCTGCCTCGCCACCGGCGGTGCTCGCTGCCCGCTGCTGCCCAGCAGGTGTCTGCAGACCAGGGCTCTCGGGACGGCCCCCACCGGGAGTAGGGGCGCGCTCCAGGTCCTGCTCGGCCTCCGGCATGTCCTCTGACGCCTTGTCGAGGCTCTGAGAGCTCATGCTCTGCTTGACTTCGGCCACAATCTGATCGATGTCCTCCTCCTGCTCGTAACTGTCCATGCGCGGGTAGGGCGCAAACTCTGCCTCCTTCTCAGGGCTGTCGGACTCGCCGTCGGAGCGCTCATCGTAATGATGCAGCCGCGCGCCCAGGGCCTCCTGACGGTAGGCGGCCGCTTCGTCGCGTTCCTGCTCGTAGAGCCTCAGGCCGTCGCGCGCGTCCAGCTCGGGCGCGTCCCCGATCTCCTCGTACACGTGCTCCTGCAGGCCGCCATAGTCGGCGTAGGGCTCCGCGTAGGGCTCGTCCTCGCCGCGGTGGAAGAGCCGGTGCGTGTAGACGTAGCCTGAGTAGGCCGCGTTCATGGCCTCCTCGTGCTCCAGCGAGTGAAAGTGCAGGTGGTTGGGCAGCGCGCGGCGGTGCGTGGCCTCGGCGTGCTCGGCCTCCGCCTGCTCCGTGTACTCCTCGGCCTCCGGCCGGTACTGCACCGCGTAAGCACTTTCGTCCTCAGGGTCCTGCGCGCGCTCCGCATCGTAGCCGTCGCGGGCCGCGGCGATCACGTCGCCCTCGGCAGTGTCGGTGTGATTGTGGAAGCCACTCTCAGTGCTGGCGGAGCGCGCCAGGCACTCACCGCGCTCCTCCTCCTCCTGCTGCCCAAGCTGCGCGCGGAGGTCCTCGACCACACGCCCGCGCGCGTGGCGGCCCGCATAGTGCTGCTGCTGCGGCGGCGGCTGCTGCTCCTCCTCCACTTCGGGGTGCTCCAGGTCGGCCTCCACTGACTCGTTGACCTCCCCACCTGCCGCCTCGTCGGTCACCTCCACCTCCGCGGAGCCCTCCAAGTGGTTCATGGTGGGCGTCGTGGATGGCTGGGAGAGAGGCTGGGCCTGCTCACTGTGCTCTCATTTTGCTCCAAGGGGCTGGAAAGACAAGAAGGGGAGAGGCTGTCACGTGGTTCAAATTGTAGTTTTGAACTAACCACAGAGATAACCATAAAAACAGCTGCTATTGATCCCTTCTGAATGTGGGTCAATTAAAAAATGATTGCAAATTTAAGTTCAGTCTGACACTACGCAGCTCATTTTCTTCATAGCACACACCATAATTTGTAATTACATATCTACTTTTTAAATTGCTTATTGGCGTTCTGCCTTCTCCACCCTCAGACTGGGAGCCTCATGAGCATTTTGTTCTTGTGCATAGTATTCAGGTTCCATTTCTGATGTATATGAATAAAGAGTACTACTAAATTGAATGGGCCAATTGACACATTTTCCATCTGCTGAAAGATAAATCTCTCTAAATTAAGCTAGGATCCTCAGTACTTTAGAAGCAATTCTTTAAATTTCAAGTAAAACTAATCTTGAAATCTTTTTGAAGCCTTTGCTGTCAATACTATTCTGAGGGACGTTATCAACCATCAGTGGGGATACATCCTGGCTGTCATTACTATGTTATCTCGGGCAATTTGCTTAGTTTTCTGGACCTCAAGATGAGAAGGGACTCATTTCCTGAATGCAAGATATTAACAGCTATTGCATAGGGGAAAAAGGACTCCATGGTACAATAAGTTTGGGAAGTTACAGTTGGCTTGTCATTGTGAATATTCAGGAAAAAGATAAGAAATGTTTCCCTAACTTTTTAATCAGGAAATACTTTTTCCCCCCGTGAGCTGGAGTTGTATCAAATTCATTTACAGAAATATTAACTAGCTTGTTTTTAATACTTCCCCCATATGCCCTGAATCTAAAATTCTAGGATTCTATGAATTGATAATAGCTGGAACTGGATTACATGGCTGATTTTTAGAAAGTATGGGACATTTTCTTTTTTAGTTCTAGAGAAACTTGAAACTATAGACATAGATTTGGGTCCAACCTCTATTATTTTTAATCAAAAAATAGTTTAACAGCATAATTTGTGCAATGGAAACAGACACAGGAATATAAAGAATAAAAACAGAAACAAAAAGCAAAAACAAAACTAACCAACCAACCAGGGAACCAACCGACGAAAAACTTCAGGATCCTTGGGATTTTAAGACATTTGGGATAAATGGTTGAATAATATATGTGAATTTTTCTCATCTCCTTTTGGAGAGTCCATCTTATACATTGCTCATGGACAGGAAGTAAACTCCTAAGTGTAATAACTGACAGCTCCAGGAAGACTAGAGATCTGATTGACTCACATTCTATATAGGTAGTACAGTGCAGTGTTGAGTTCTGTATTAATAAGAGTGACCAATTAAGGGAGAGAAAACTAAGTCCTGGAGGAGAGGAAGTCAGGGAAAGCTTCGGAGAAACATAATACTCTGATTCAGAAGGGGGGTGGAGGATGGTATTAGATGCAAATGGGAAGTACATTTTCATACATTCTATAAATGTATGTAAAAGAAGAATGGATATGAATGGAAGAACCTAATCATGTCAATATAGCTATAGACAAAAACTGGAGGATGTGGAGTTAGAAAAGGGACTGATCGTATGCTAACATGGCCGACAAGGTACAGCTAATAGATATATTGACATGAATTATACTCCACCCAATTCCCCACCATAACCATAACAGTTTCCCTTTAGACATTCATGACAAGCCAAGTAGAAAAGCAGACCATTTTGAAACTACCAAGTCCACCTTGAAGCAGAAATATATCCCTCCATCCATTCTTTGATGGAGCCATCTCTAACTGATGCTCTTTAGAAGAAAACAATCATGGTTTACCAAAGATGAACAATCCTTATTGCTTCTCTACTCAAAAAAGAATTCCACTTCAAGTTACTCCCAACCTGTTTTGAAAAATTGTGGCTTCCTCTCATTAATCCCTGAGAACAGTGACTGTACCTTAAGTATAAGAAGTTTCCCCAAAGAAGCTATGCATTATCACTCAAACCTCGATAGATAATTCCCTGAACAAAAGTCAAGAGCTGGTACTGAAAGACACCTGCTTAAATGGTCTCTACACGATTCTGGAAAATGCAAAACACTGGATTCAAAGCAACACACAGATAAGAACAGTGTTAACTCAGTTTCCTTTATAAAGATTCTAGAAAAGACAGCAGATACAAACTACTTTAAAAGTACACTTACACCTTAGTATACAAATCTGAGTTTAATGAACACATGTCAAGTGTTCACAGAGAAGGATAATGAACATACTACCAGCTTCTCTGGGTCCTATTACCCCGAGGCTTCTCAACTGTGCATGGTCAATAATAGAAATACAGTTACAAGCATTCGAAGCAGGTGAATGGCTAAGAGTTCATGAGCACATGCAGAAGTGACCAAACCACATTCTTCAGTGAAAATGGCTTTTTCTTCTATTGATGTATGTTTTAAAAAGAAATTTTAGTATATTCTGGGTTAAAATCATATATGATCAGCAATCGGTGCCTTCTCATAAATCACACATCGATTCAAAGGAAATGGAATTTCCATGCAGGTGCAACAATAGATCATGATAAAGAAAGCCTTTGGAGGGAAAATATTGTTAGAATAATGCAGCTTTGGTACAATGGAACTCTTTGTTCGCTAAGAATATTCTCTTCATTTCTCTATCTCCAAACCTCAAAGGAATATTTGTGCATATAATGTCTGTATTTCATTCGCCATCATGATTTCAAGAGTACAGTGTGCATATTCATTACAATATATTAATGAGTATCAGACACTTGGATTGAGGGATTTCCCTACAACAAAGCACCTGGCAATGTCTAGGGAAGGAGCTGGAATTCATGGTTACTTCCATTACTAACATAGGAGAGGGCTTTTCTCTGTACTGTTGCAACTTTGGAAGTGGTATTTGTTAAAAACAAAACCAAACCCAGACTTCTTAAAGAATCCCAGGTTATTGTGGGAATGCATATTGGTATAACATTTTTGAAAAACAGTTTGTCAAAATGAATTAAAGTCTTTCAAAAGTAATACACCTTGTGCCCCAGTAATTCTATTTATAGTTTAAAAGAAAATGCCAAGACAGATGCTTCTCCTAGTATTTACTTCAGAAGCAAAAATTATATTACCTAACTATTAAGCACTAACATTTATTAAGTACTTTTAAGTATGATGCTAAGCATTTGAGCATCATCCATTGATCATGAAGAACACCTATCTCCCAAACCTGGCCCCCCATTCTGTAGTTCCTGTATGAATCAAGGGCACCACCAGCCACCCATGGGATCCTTGCTTTCACTCAATTGATGGGTGAAAGCCTTAGTAACTTCACTACCTTAGTAACTCTCAAGTCTGTCCTCATTGCTGCTCCCTTGCCTTGGTCTGTCTTGTCTACACAGTGTTTTAGTCACTGATTTCTCAGCCCCCTCCAGCCTGATGATCTTTCTAGAACACAATATATGAATGCATAACCATACTCTGCAAACCCTTCAGTGATTCCCTTCCAGTGCACAGTACAAGTACTTAGCTAACTGTGTACCAGGTACTAACTGTGTACCAGGCATTTCCCACTGACCAATTCGTTGCTCACATTAACCTGATTAAGAGAGGATGTCATCTTGGTTCTTTTGAAAATAATGAAGCAGAGGAACAGGGAGTTAAGTTATTGCCTGGGTCACATACCTGACAAGGAATGGCACTGGTGTTTGAGACCTGTTCTCTGACTGTGGGGTCTAGGTTCTTAAGTCTTACTCCTGGCAAACCAAGACCTCAGGCTGCTTCCCTCTTCCATCCTTATCTTCACAGTCCACCCTGCACTATGTCCGACAGCCCAAAGTCCCAGTGCTGGCACTAACAGCCTTGCCTATTCTTAGGAAATTTCCCATCTGTTACACTTCTTAGTGAACCTTTCTTATCTTCCTGGAGACAGTGCGTATTTGATGAGTGTCTGTTAGGTGCCATCTCCAGGCCATGTCATGGGCACTAGGGCAAAGCAGTGGCCAAGCCTTGAGAGACTCCCCTGCTCTCTGGAAGCCCCCTTCTCATGCATGGGAGAGGGTGGAAGCAAAGGAAAGGGGAACAGACTAATTGTGTGAAGAAGTAAACAAGATAATTTCCCAGTGAAATATTTTATGAGGGAAATACAACATTGTCATAGGAAGTGACTGAGGAGAGGGTAATATGGTGAAATGGGCCAGAAGAAGTGATACTTAGCTGAGGCCTGAATGATCACGAAAGAGGGTGTCTTGAAAAGATCTGAGGGCACAGGCTTTGAGGTGAGAAAGGACTTTCTGTGTTCAAGAACAAAAAATGATATCTGTGGGTAGAAATGAAGTGAGTAAGGGACAGTGTGGCAGGAGATGAAGATAGAGAGATGGGAAAGGGCTGAGTCAGGCAGAATCTGGCACATCATGGTTCAGGGTGTGATTTTATCTCAAGGGTAGGTGTATACTACTGGGGATTTTAAGCAAGGGGGTGATAAGGCCTGTCCCCACTAATCTACCTGTCTGTTTTCTATGTACGTCTGTCTCCCCCTCTGCCTTTCCCTACCCTATTCTGGGCAATAATTGTTTATAAAGATGAAGTCCTTGGGAAAAGAGGTCTTGCCATGCATTTTTGATTCTCTAATGCCAAACATGGAGGATATGTGAGGATATACAGCTGGTGCTCAATGAATTTTTATTACTTTAAAAGCAAAAAAAAAAAAAAAAATCTTCATTCACTTGCCCTCCCAATCAATAACTAGGGAATGATCTGCCATTGGAGAAGAACTTACTTCTTTCCATCTTGAATCTTTGCTGCCCTCATCCACCTATGAACCCTCCTTAACCTTCTTCTGATGTTTAAGGACCCAAAGAATGCTAGAGATTCAACATTCTCCTACTTTTGAGTGTGCAGATCCAACTGGCCTTTATTGGACATATACCAGGCACTGTGCAGGGCAAAGGGTATTCAGAAGGTTTTCTTGTGTTACTGCAGATGAACACACAAAAGTTCCTAAACCATGGTTCCAGACATTAACTATATA